AGGAACAAGATCCAACCGCCGCACACCTGGAGAAAGTTATCGCCAACAGAGCATGCCGCATAGCTGTCAAAGAGTCGCTTCGCACCACCTACAGGAGAACTAAGTTATTAGAGGGCGCAGAAGGAAAATCTAGCATCAAAAGTTGCGAACGAGATCTAAATGATCAGAGGATCGTTATGACCGCACTCATGGACAGAGAAAAGAAAGCAGGTCAGGTCAAGACACAACACAGGTCAAGAAGTGGTATGGAGGATATTGTTGGCAATTTCTACGCAGACCTCTTTCGTTCGACCACAACTGTCCTGCGAAGCCCGATACCGCCTGCTGAAGACCCTCCTACTATTCTGGAATCAGAAGTTGCGAACGCGATACGAAGCATGAGAAAAGGAACTGCCCCAGGGCCTGACAACATATCTGCAGATTTGCTACGTGCTGGGCATACAGCTCTCTATGCTCTCCTCGCCAGACACTTCAACCACTACCTCAAGCTAAGAGAAATTCCGGAACAGTGGAAAGGATCGAGAACCGTTCTACTGTTTAAAAAGGCCAGCGAGAAGATATCGCCAACTACAGACCTATCAGCCTTCTCTCGGTGGTATACATCGTTCACAAAAATACTGCTCAATCGCATGGAACGCATCTTGGACGAATACCAGCCAGTGGAGCAGACAGGGTTCAGAAAGAACTTCTCATGTATGGATAACGTACAAGCGGTCACTCAGCTTATTGAAAGGAGCCACGAATATCACCTTCCATTAGGTCCTTGTCTTCGTTGACTATAAAAAAGCATTCGATTCTGTGGAGGTCAATGCTGTTCTGAATGCCTCATACAAGCCGGAGCTCCCCCTGCCTACATCCAACTGCTCGAACAATGCTTCTCAAATACAACAACAACTATCCAGCTGTTCGAGCGAAAGATAAAGATCCCTATTCAGAAAGGAGTACGGCAAGGTGATACGATATCACCAAAGTTATTCACGGCTGCATTACAGTACGCGATGTCAAACCTTAATTGGGAAGACAAAGGATGCCTCATCAATGGGAAAAGAATGAATAACCTCCGTTTTGCTGATGATATCGTATTGATATCTAACAACACAATCGAAATGGAAGAAATGGTCAACGAACTCAATGTGGAAGGCCTGAAGATCGGCTTGGAAATGAACATGTCAAAAACGCAAATGATGGTAAATCAGTGGTGTGATACAGGTACAGTAAAACTGGCGGGAAAAGCTCTAGAGAGAGTAGAAAGCTACGTGTACCTGGGAAGAGAACTGAACATGACGAACAATATTACTCCTGAAATAAACCGAAGGAGGCGCGCTGCATGGGCAGCCTTTGGAACGATTCGAGAAGTAACGGACCAAATGAAAGATCCCGACCTCAGAGCCTCTATATTTAATGCTTCAGTGTTACCAGCAATGTGTTATGCCACTGAAACATGGCCTGAGAATAAGACGATAGCCAAAGCCATGCAAACAATACATCGTGGGCTAGAAAGATGTTTCCTGAAAGTTAGTCGACATCAGCAATGGAGACAGAGCCTACGAAGTTCAGAATTAAGAGAGAGATCACACCTGAAAGATCCCCTGCAGTACATGGCACAATCGAAGCATCGTTGGGCTGGTCATTTACTTCGCCGAGACGATGACAGATGGAGCCTCCGAGTCACTGAATGGCTCCCAAGAAACAAAACAAGACCGCTAGGGCGACCGCAAACCCGGTGGGCCGACTCGTTTTTACGTATTTCAGACAACGCGGTCTACACTGGATGAAAATTGCCAGAAACCGGGAACCATGGAAGAGCTGTGGTCCCCGCGGAGAAGATCGCCAGCTGAAGGACTATCAAGGTATCAAAGTGAGTAAGTATACCGTT